GACTGCCTCTGTTCCTATGTGTATAGCCGTGATGGATATGTGCTATAGGAAAGGGGGTTCCTATATCTGCCTGCCAAGGAAACCTAGCGGCCCTAACTTGTTAGAGAAACCTATGAAATGGCTTCATAGTGTACCCTGCCCGCTCACCTTGGCAGTGATATGGGAGTAATTAACCCGGGCATATGGGAATCACGACTCGCGGTGAATGTGCACCACCTCTACAGAGGGTTACAAACTGTTATAACAGCCGTGCTCACGGTCACGAGCGGCCCGGAAAACTCACAGAATAATTGGTTACTCATTGTTGTTCATTTATGATGGTTTATGATGATATGATCCAAATGATGCTGATATCTGATTAAGTGGGTTTAAATGGGAGCTTAAGCATAACTTGATAATACTTGATAATAAAATCTTGACTTACTAAAAGTGCTAACTGCAGTAAACCAGTGTCAACCTTTTTGAGCCTCATGAACCCCATGTTATCTTGTTGAGTACGGGACGACTTACGCTTTGTTTATTTTCTTTATTTGGATAAAAATCCCGGATGGGTAACAGATGACAACGTGTATGAGGAGTTTCCTGAGGATTATTAGGCTTGTGGTCAACCAGTTGACCTTCCCTGTGATGGTGTTCCACGAGAGAGAGTTATCTTTCATTTTCCGCTGTGATGTATAAGGCTAAGTTATGTTATTATCGTGATGTAAGATACACTGTGATGATACTCTTTTATAATTTATCAGCTTGTGTGTGTGATTGATTCCTCGGCACACATGAGTTAGTGCATTCAATTTTATCCTTAAAATTAGGTGTGACAGCTAGGCTATAGTAAAATCAAGGAATCAACACGTCAAATGAAGATCAAAGAGCAGTCATGAAGACCCGTAAGAGAGACAAGCAAGGGGCTCAAGACATCAAGGAAGAATAGCCCCGAAAATTGGGCATGAAGAAACACTTCAGAGGAGCACCAAAAACGTGCACCGGAAAAAAAAAACTGTGTCACTGGGAGATTCCAAGTGGGCGGCACAATAAGAACTTGGGCGATTTATCGGTGTTTGGTTGTTTACATGAAAATTACCCTATACTTCTACCTGTCTGTCTCCTTCATTTTGCCCCATCCTTCCACTTCTCTATCTTTGACTAAGTTGAAAAAATATGTTAACATCTACAATATTAAACAAATGGAATATATGAGGATGTATTTCATCGTGGATTCAACAAAACTAATTTGATATTGTATTTTTAGGAAATCTGATGTTGTATATGTTGGTGCATTTTTCCATGAACATAGTTAATTAATATGATTGTGTTAATAATGATCGATCTAAAAATTTCTTGAAGAACTTGCGGAGGAGACATGTAGTTAGTCATGAATGTGAACCCTAATATCTTGATTTTGGCTTGACCAGAATCGTCAAACAGGTCAAGTCATTAAAATCTTTTTGTAGCCCCATTGCAGCACACGATACTCACCTAGTATAGTAGGTAAAGCATAGGATACTACTCAATGAATCCAAAATGATGTATATCTTAGGTATACAGAGACACAAAATATTAAATATATTCTGGCCGGTCTGTTCTTCATAAATGTTAACATACGTGCTACATGTCTAGCAATATCTATATCTTCCACTGTATCTCGTAAACATGTCTAGCAATATCTATATCTTCCACTATATCTTGTCAACGATTGTAAGCTCTTCCGATCCCATCATACCACTAAACCATTACATGTTTCCTATATATAGTACCCAATTATCAGAACATAAGGTTGACACCGTGCCAAGCACCACCTGGTACCTTGGCATAATGATGATGTGTGTGAGAGCAGAGATTCTACTTGTGCTGATAGTATGTGCCATAGTTTTTCTCCAACCACCAGTGATGGGGAAATTTCCAACATGTACTGCCACGCAGAAGAGAGAGATTCTGATGCAATGTAGATTATTCATTTTGGAAGCAGAGTCCAGTGTTCCCAAAGATGGTCCCTGCTGTGAGGCGGTGAGAGCTGTGCCAAACAGAAACATGAAATGTGTCGTCGTTCTACTTTCAGATCCTGAGAAGAAGAGATTCAAGGAAGAGAGGATCCTGTCTCTTGAAAATATCTGCTTACTACCTTAGTTCCGATGAGGTAAAAATCATGTATTGCTGATCCATTTTGTGCTAATATAAACCAAAAATGTTCTGCTAAGCTGATATTGAATTGTTCTTGTTTTACGTTCCAGGCCCTGATGTAAACTGCAGGCAGAGCTAGATAGACTCGATGGTTAATAAAACCTATAAAATATTCGTTGCGATATCATGCACATCATTCGAGAAATTAAAGAGATCAGTGTTTGATCATCAAGACATCTCCCGTTGCGCATTTGAGCTTGCCTCAGCATTGGTTTGAAAATAAGCCCTTGTTTAGTTTCACCTTAACTTCTAAAACGTTGCTACATCACATCGAATGTTTGCGGCCCGTGCATGGATCATTAAATATAGACGAAAAGAAAAACTAATTGCACAGTTTGGTAGAAAATTACGAGACGAACATTTTGAGCCTAATTAGTCCATGTTTGAACACTATTTGTCAAATAAAAACAAACGTGCTACAGTAACCCCAAAATCTAAATTTCTCCAACTAAACAAGGGCTAACTCACAAACTGTTAGAAACTTGACCTACGCCCTCCGTCCTAAAATAAATATTTTTTGAGCTTTAAAATTTGTATAAAAAATTAACATTCTACACTACTACAGAATCGTTTTTTTAGGGTCGGCTCATAACCCTTTGTAGGGGCGGTTTTACCGGCCGCCCCTACGAAGGGGTGGCTACAAATCGATTTATAGGAGCAGCTGATATTATCAGCCGTCCCTACAAATCGATTTATAGGGACGGTTACAGTACCAGCCGCCCCTACAGTGTATTTTTCCACCCAAAAAAATCAAATTTCGTTTCATTTAGGGACAGAGATTGCTGAATGTGCTAGATGGCTGAATGTGCATTTCATCATTTCATTTCATTTCATTTAGGGACAGAGAGAACGAAACAAAAACAGGAGGGGAGATATATTTTTCTTTTTGCTAGCTCTCTAGTCCTCTAATCTTCTCAAAGCAGCTCTCTACGGACTGGATGATCTCTGCCGTGATACGATCGCCAGCAGCCACCTTGTATTGTTCAAATTTCGCTTCATCACACTCCAGTGCAGCTTTCTTGCAAGCCCTGATGCTTCCTGGAAAAAGTGAATGCAACGATGATTGATGAGCTAAACTGTGGCAGTTGGGCAATAAAAAGAAGAGTGACCCTTTTCTTAAGGACTACAAATTAGTATTACAAACATGGCAATAGTGCTACTCCCTCTGTTTCAGACATAGCATATATCTAGATGCATAGATACATAGTTTTACTATGAAGCTGGCCATCCTAATTGACACATAGTTTTGAGTTCTGAAGGAGAAATGTGGTTCCAAAAAGGTCAACAATATGAGGAAAACAGAATGAATTTGACAAACCTATAGCTTTCTATAGCTGTAGCTCCTATGTTCCTTCATCAGAGATGGCAAAAATGTTGCACCGAAAGTTTAGAAATTACTCAAACGAAACAGCAAAACAGCCCACATGAAGATTATTCAAACTTGTGAACCTTGACAGTGATGTGAGATGGGCATATTGAATCCTTTCTAAATCAAAATCCTACCGTCAAATTCTTACTCTAAGTTAGAAGACAAAATCAACTACAGAAATAGGTTATTTTTGGAAGGTCCAGAGTGCGCCAAATCAAGTGCCAGTCTGATTTCAGGTTCTTTGAGTAACCAATCAGTTGCGTAAGGGGCTACGAAACTGGATTCTACATGTGAAAGGACAAGAGGGCATATCTAAAAGATTCATGGACTAGAGCTATACCAGTTTCGCAGCATTTCTGTTCTTCAGTGTCAAAACTGCTGCTTCAGAGAAGGCCTGTGCAGCTCGAGCCTCTGCTTCCCTAGCAGCTGCTTCAGCTTCTGCCAAGATAGCCTCTGCCTCTGCAACTTCAGCTAAGCCAAAACCTGCTGAATGCAGAAGTTAGAGGGTGACCCAACGACATATATATGTAATGAAGAATATAAAGAACAGATTATGCTGATTTTACATTCTTGAAGCTTTGTGGGTTATTTATATGCATATCAGACAAGATGAACCATATCACCAAGTCTTCTTGCTCAGGGTTCACACAGCTATGAGGGCATTCTTTTCTCAAAATAGCATAGAAACAGAAAATGCTCCATTTTCAATGGATACTAATACTAATAGCCTAGCACAATTAAGAAAGATTGTCTATTTCACCAAATCTTTCCAATGAGGATTCATATATTAAGGCAGTTTGCTCTCAAAATAGGAAATGGGGTCACAGAGGATGTGATTAGACAGCGTCCTATAACATGAATAGTCTTTCTAAACTGAACCAAGATTTCCTTTCAAAGAAATTAACTAAGGTTCTTATGAAATCCAATAACATGATGCACACATTAAAGATTATTTTACAATCTATCTATAAAATCTAAGTTTACATGTGCAAAATGCCAACATTGTCAACTAAAGCATTAAAGTAGCTAAACGCAATAAGCTAGCTACTTGAAACCATTACAGTAGAATTCTTCAAATGCGTAGCCCCAGTAGTCAGTAATTGTATTTACATGATAATAAACAAAAGCATAAGGCTTGTTTCCTACGGCCCCTTATGCAACCTGAACATTTTAGAAAGTGATGGTATCACTTCCAACTGAAGTATACAGGAATTTTCCCCTAAATTTGTTGTTACAGTAACCGAAATTTTTTACCTGAGGGTAGAAATGAGGTGCATTGATCTTCACCTTTTCAAGAGTCCAAGAAGAATTGGAGCCTGTAACGATAGATAGCCTTGTTTACTTGTTCAGAATACATGTTGGTACATTTTAACAGTAATATGAAAATATATATCATACATTTTGATCAGTGACCACAAAAGAAAGAATTTTTGAAAGACATGCACCTATCTCAAGATCATACTGATTTCTGCTTCAGCTCCAGCAGCAGCATCTTGGGGCTTCGGCCCTCTAAGCGTGGTGAACTAGGTGCTATCCTGTACTTCCGATTCACCTGCAAACTTCCACTGGTCATGCTGAAAAGCTCAAGGTTCTTCAATTTGAGAACATGCAACTTCTGATTGGATCAAAATATGAACATTCAGCAATGAAAGATGGCTCATTGGCTCATGGACACCATAAAGCCCACAAATCGAGTAGTGCTGAAAATAGCATTTAAAGTGAGATCAGCCGAACCTGTAGTCTACCAAGGATTCTACATGAAATTAAACAAGAAATCATTATGTAATAGACTAACAGTGGAGTATTGTGCATCACTAAACAAGAAGATCGAATTAAACTGAACAAAAATGCAGATCGAATTTGGCGCACCTTGAGCCCTTGGCGTCCAGGATGAGGGCCATCAGGCGGCGGTCCGAGGCCTCCTCGAGGGATGCCGGAGCGCTGTGCTCCCGGTGGATCTCGAGGGCTTCGCGGCATAGCTTCTCTGCCTCGTCGAACTGCAGAGCTTGCACATTCGCTTCCGTCAGGTACCTGCTCATCAGTCAGTTTTGAGAAGTAGCAAAATTGTCATGCTTCGTCCCTTGTAAGATTTATTGGGTGTTTGCACGCAAGAAATCGGTTTTTAACGCCAATTCTGTCGAGATCCACAGTTTTCTGTAACGACTAACGACCAACGATGGGGAAAAATATCAGTTCTTTGGCTTTATCGAGGTTGGATTGGAGGTACTAGTAAAAAAATGGCGCCTTTATGGAGATTGGGAGAGACGAGATCCAGATCGAGAAGCAGCGAAGGGGGGATTGATGATCACCTGCAGGTCTCGGCGACGCGGGGGTCGCGCTCGCCGAGCGCAGCCATCTGGATCTCGAGGCCCTTGCCATAGCAGGCGATGGACTCGTCCATGCGGCCAAGCATGGCGTGCGTGTCGCCGAGCTGCATCCAGCCGGAGAAGGCGGCGAGGGACCACTCCTCGCCCCTCTGGTCGGGCTCCGCATGCTGCTGCTGCTGGTCGTCGCCGCCGGCCGCAGCGGCCCCATCCTCGCCCTCCCCCTCCCCCTTGGCAGCAGGGGCAGGCGGCGTGACGACGGCGACGGCGCGCTCAAGGACGGGGATGGCGTCGGCGTGGCGACCGAGTCCACAGTGGATGGCGGCGGCGACGTGGAGGCTCATGGCGTGCTCGAGCTCGGCGCCCTCGCCGAGCCGCTCGAGCGCCCTAGCGGCGCGCTCGGCGAACTCGAGCGCGCGCGCGCGGCCCCGCCGCCCTCCCCCGACACCATGGCGTCGCGCGCCTGCTTGAGGAGGAACGGGCCCAGATTCGATCTACCTTCTCCTGCGCCGCCGATCCGGCTCCGGCGCGCGATCCCGTGGCTGCGGTGCTATGGAGAGAGGGAGGGAGGAAGAGAGAGAGGGGCTAGGGTTTCGTGGAGCACAGAAGCAGCCGCCCTGTCCGCGTCGAGGGAGAGAGGGAGCGAAGAGGAGAGACTGAGAGAGCGAGGAGGGGGGAGAATTTTCTGGTGTCCCCTATATATATACAATGGGTATTTATAGGGGCGGCTGGTGATTAAGCCGTCCCTACGAATGAAGACAGCAGGGGACATATTTGGGCCTTGTTTAGATACCATCTAAATTCCAAGTTTTTTCACTCTCTCTCCATCACATCAATTTTTAGCTGCTTGCATGGAGTATTAAATGTAGGTAAAAAATAACTAATTACACAGTTTAGTTGGAAATCACGAGATGGATCTTTTGAGCCTAGTTGGTCCACGATTGGACAATATTTGCCAAATAAGACGAAAATGGTACTATTCATCGGGTTGAAAAAAGTTGCAATCTAAACAAGGCCTTGTAGGCGGCTCGCTCAGACTTAGTCGCCCTCCTCATGCTATTATTTAGGCGGCGGTCATTGTCAGGTCAAGATCGAAAGCACGTCCTTTGTAAGGGCGGCTCCAATTCTAGCCGCCCCTTAAGAAAAAATTATCCGTTGCTACAAACTGTTTTTCACGTAGTGCTACAATAGTATGGAAAACTATAGGGAAGCCAATCATGGTGCATGCAAACGATAACTATCAAATCTAGGAGATATCCTCTAGAAAAGGAAAGGAGAAGAGGCTACATGCGTCTTTTGCTAGGGTCCTTGGTGTGTCTGAAAAATTTTAGAAAGTTATTTATATCTATCTATATATTCACAGGATGATGTCCAGAAATTCTCAAAATAAATAGAGAAAAAGAAAAAAAAATACTTGACCATCAATCTATGCTAGGAACAATTTATAATCATCCCAATCAAAAATATATCTGGCCAATTGTTTCCAAGCAAACAAAAAGTTAAGTCATTTATCTATCTACTCTACTCTACCCTACTCTATCTATCTATCTGTCGGTCTATACCTACGCACTAATATCTTCATAGAATGTATAAAATTTTTCACAATAAATAGAGAAAAGGAAAAAAATACTTGACCATCAATCTATGCTAAGAACAATTTATAATCATCCCGGTCAAAAAGACATAGCCAATTGAGTCCAAACAAACAAAAAGGAAAGTCCTTTTTGGCAACAGGTGCATGTCATCTATGGGATTTTGATCTAGTATCTATATCCGTCGAACTACTTTATCTATCTATCTATCTATACCTATATGTACTACTAGTATATATTCACAGAGTGTCTAGAAAATCTCATGATAAATAGAGAAAAACAAAAAAAAAATTTGACCAATCATCTATGCTAGGACCACTTTACAGTAATCATCTTGATTAAAAAGATATCTAACCAAATGTTACCAAGCGCACAAAAAGGAAAGTCTTTTTGCAACAGGTGCATGCCAATTGTCATCGATTGGATTTTGTGATATATCTATCTTTCTATCTATCTATATTTACCTATATACTAATATATTAATAGATTTGTTTAGAAATTCTCACGATAATAGACAAAAATAAAAATATTTGATCATCCATCTATGCAAGGACCAATTTATAATATCATCCCTATCAAAAAATATCTGGCCAATTGTTACCATCTGAACAAAAAGATAAGTCCTTTTGCGACAGGTGCATGCCAATTGTCATAGATGGGAATGGATACTACAACAAAAAGGCAATTGTAGGGATCTTGAAATTTAAAATTTAGAAATGTCAAACGACATTAGACTTTGACATGATTTATAACAAAGTTGTAGTTTTCGATGCAGTCTACAACTTTGTAGTTGACAAGTTTTTATATAAAAACATTTAGAGTTTGAAATATCTGTTTCAAAATTCTTAGATTGGCATGTCTAAGAGCATTTCCAAGGGTTCCCAGAATGCACTCCCAATCTAGGATTTTTGGCAAGATTGAAAAAACACATCTCCAACAACTCCCAACTCCAGCTCCTCTTTTGGCACTTGGGAAAACCAAGCCGCCGCGCAGAAAATACATGCTACTCCGCTACTACGGTCCTGCTCGCGCTAGGTTTTCCTAGGCATTCTTCTTTATCACGCCAAAGAGGAGGAGATACTGCGACTTTTCCTAGGCTTTCTTCTCCCTCGCGCCATAGGCCAAATGTCATCCAGGAAGTCGATCTTCGCCGCTGCCAACCTAGGGAAGAGGTAATCCATTGTTGTACTCCCTCAACTTTGCCCTACACTTTTCCTCAGATGCCCTAGCCCTGCACGGAGGTTGTTGGCCACGTATGGCCAGCCACGGCAGGATGCTGGCCACCCTTGGGTTGGCCTGCTTGGCTACAGCCAGCCGTGGTCGGCTGCTGGCCGCCTTGGGTTGGCCACGCCTGGCTACAGCTAACAGAGGCTGGCTGGCCGTAGTTGTCGTGCTGTGGCTAGCTGCTGGATGCCTGTGTGGCCTGGCCAGGGCCAACTATTGATGGTTGATGGATGGCCATGGCCAGGCCATGGTCGGCTGTGGTCTGGGAAGGCTTTTCCTATTGCGGGAAAAAATCTTTGTAGATTACAAGTGTTGTTCATTATGTGGTAAACATATTTTTCTTCTTCAAGGCATTTGGCATTGATTTGTTCCTCATTATTGGTAGGCTCCTCCCAATGTCCGGGTGTGGATATTGGACAAACATGGTTACGGGAGTGGAGCAGGATGTTTCTTTGGAAGATCTCATTATCCCCATGACACAGGACGCATAGGCACATGAGGAGGTTCCTACTGAAGTGCAAGCAGCTGATGTGGAGCCACGTGTAGGTTCTACTCGAACACGCGCTACAAGGCCAAATCAGAAAAGGCAAAAAAAATTCAATGTGAAGGAGGATGAACTTGTTGTCTCATCTTGGTTGAACGTTAGCAAAGATCCCGTGCAAGGTGCTAATCAATCTCGTGCCTCCTTTCGGCATAGTATTTATGACTACTATGAATAGAACAAGACAATTGAATCAAGTCGAATGGAGAGTTCGATTATGCATAGATGGTTTGCATATTTTGGAATAAGTCAACAAGATTGTGGATGCTACGACGCGATTGAGCGTAGAAATAAAAGTGGTCGTACCATTCAAGACAAGGTTAGTGTTTACCTATTTGGTTCATTTCTAAAGACATAAACATTCACATTTAATAACCAACCATGTGCAGGTTTCTGAACCATCAGCTATGTTCAAGGAATCAGGGAGAAAACAAGTTGTTCATGCTAATGCATTGCTGAAACAAATTGAAGGACTTAAGACAAGTAAGAGGTGAAGATGAAGGTAATGGCAGAGCAGAAGCAAGCCGCTAACAAGAAACAGAAGGTACACCTGGATTCCGCTCCAAGGAATTTAGAAGTCAACAACATTGGTGATGTCACTGAGGTTTCACCCCCAAATTTAAAGCACGAAAGAGGCCAAAGGGGGAGAAGAAGGCAAAACAAGCACTGAGGCGAGGAGGAGGTGAAGCTTGCATGGAGGCATTGGACCAAATGTGGGCTAAGAAGGAGGCTTTTGACATGGAGAAAGAGGGGAGGAAAAGAGGAGAGGTAGGCTTCACTTGCTCTAGAGAGAAGGAGCAGCTACTTTTAGAAGGAAAAAAGGGTTCAATCTTATTTGGACAAGATTGAGTTGGACATGATCAAAGAGGAAGACAAAATAATGTCAAAAGACATTACTTCCTTGTCTGAGGTGCAGCAGCAGTATTAGAAGCATATGCAGGAAGTTGTCGTTGCTCGTCGTATGTCATAGTAGATTTAGTCTGTATCATTGTTTTCTCTACTTTATCATTTTGTAATACTCTGAACTATGAATTTTCTTTATCAAGACTATTAATTTCAGTTGCATTATTGTTTATGTTGAAGTAATTTTTTTAATATGAATGATGGCCTACTGCTACTTGGTTGTGTATCTGTTCCTGCTGCTGGCCGGCTGCTGCCTACTGCCAGCCGGCAACTGTCTGCTTTTGGCCAGCTGTTGCATGCCTGTGGCCGGCTACTGCCTACTGCTGGCTGGGTGCAAAAAAATGTATTGATCCTAACAATTAAATAAAAGCCTATGAACCTAATATTTATCAGGAAATTACTGCCATAAGTGCTCCATTAGGTCTTCTTTTAGCTAGTGATGTGTTTCATTGTATCTAATCCTTTTATGTGCCTCAATAAATTCATCAATGGAACGATGATGCCCATGAGAAGGTTCCAAATTTTGGCCACCATAGCCGAACCGCTCAGTATGGTCCACTACTCCTTCATCCTCAACAATCATATTGTGCATAATGACACAAGCTTTCATGATGTTTCCTAGTGTCTCTCTGTGTCCCATAAACGAGTTGCTCCCCAAATAACGGCGAATCTGGATTGGAGAACTCCAAAAGCTCATTCGCATCCTTCGTTGCTACTTCGTGTGCTTTGGCAAAATATTTCCTCTTGTTCCCCATCACTAGTACAACAATGATTTCTCTTGGCGGTGGCCATTTTGTCAGTGGCGGTTCGTAATGTGTAGGCACCACTAGAAATAAAACTGTGGGTCCAGACCATGAACCGCCAGTATAAATTTATTTTTACTGGTTGTTTTCTTAAGTTTACCGTCAGTATAAATATATGATTTGTACTAGCGGTAGCCTTAAGAAAATAGCTAGTAAAAATGTATTTATAGTGGCGGTTTTCGTAACCTAGCGTCACTACAAATAACTTGGAATAGACGTCGAATATTAAAAATTAAGTACTAAAATTCGAATTTTTCAAAAGGCCTCGGATGGTGAAATGA